TTGGACCGGGGGGCCGGGGGGGGGCTCTGCAGCTTACCTGGCTGCTTCTTGCTCTGACTGAGGGCTGCTGGGAGCAGGGGGTAGGGGTTGTTGCATGTGCCCGCCCCCTGGGCTCTTTACTGCCGGAGCTCCGCTCCTGTGCGCTCCCGCAGGAAATGACCCCTGAGCAAGACTACCTCAGGATTTAGAGCAAGAGGTCAACAAAGGGCCAGTACAAGAAATTGCATTTGCATAACCAAAAATATACTTCTTAACATTATTGATCGTTCACATGTCGGTCAACATCCATAAAGTCCCCCCCGCCCCACCTGTGCTTGTTGTGAGTCCCTTCCAGTATTCCCTCTAAACTGAGTTAGTGTTGAGCAAACTAATTTATTCAGTAGCCAGATTGCTCTGGAGCCCTCCTTCCTGAGCGGAGACAAAAGTGCGTGAGCCGGAGGCTAAAAAACTGTGAGCTAGCTCACACTCACTCAGCTTAGAGCAGTGGTGGCACTCAGATGGCACGAGTGCCTTCGCCGCAGCCAGGCCCAGACCATCATTAAAGTGTCGAATTCTCTGCCAAATAATTTTAAGTAAATGAAAGCATTTGGGATTGCTTTCCTTACTTTGTTTGGATCATCTTAAATTAATGTATGAGGTTGTTTTTTCTAAAGTAAAACCTCAGTATTCAGGTTAAATTGCCGTGTTGGCACTTTGCGATAAATAAGTGGGGTTTGGGTCGCAGTTTGGGCACTCGGTCTCTAAAAGGTTCGCCATCACTGGCTTAGAGGGAGCATTGGTCCCTTCTTAGGAAAATGGCGCTCACGAGTCCTAACAATAAGAAGTAATAAATATAAACCCGTGCATGCCAAATGGTTGTTGTTTTAATAAACTGGCATAAATCTACCCATGGTTTGCACTTGGATTATTGGCAGCTGTTCACCTCGGTCATGTTTCTTCCCAAAGGCCTGTAAGAAGCCCTTTAGTCCTGACTCCTTAGCGCCTGCCCTTGGCTTCACTTACGGTTCTTCCATCATCTTACCCTTTAACTTTCAGATTTCATGTTTTTCCCCTTAAAGAGCCATATTTGGTTCCATACTGAGCTGTGTTCGGCTCTAGGGTTTTGGCTGCTGGTCCTGGACCTGCCCCTATTTATCTAATCAATTTTTGTCCGTCCCCCCCCCCCCCGAGCCACAACACCGGGTCCTATAATTTCCCTTTTCTCCTTTTGTCCTCACAACAGCCATCTTGTGAGGCTGGTGAGGCTGACGGAGTGAGTGACTGGCCCAAGGTCATCCAGCAAGCTTCATGGGGGGGTAGGGAGGATTTTAACTTGGGTGTCCCAGATCCTAAGAACATAAGAGAAGCCCATGTTGGATCAGGCCAATGGCCCATCCAGCCCAACACTCTGTCACACAGTGGCCAAAAAGACCAGGTGCCACCAGGAGGTCCACCAGTCCACCAGTGGGGCCTATGATTGCAGGAATTTTTTTTACCTGGTCACCAGGCTTCCATTTGGGGTACCAGCCTCACTTAAGGCCACTGGGCCGGATGGGATCTCGCTGGACACCAAGTCTTGGTAGGAAGAGAAGAAGGCGCAAGCATACACTACAATCTATTCTATTGAACCTGAAGCAACATTACAGAAAAGCTGACTGCTCTTAGGGTTACCAACTCAGGGTAGGGAAATTTCCTGGAGATTTGGAGGTGGAGGGCTGGATTTAGGGAGGGGAGAGACTTCAGTGGGGTATAATGCCATAGAGTCCACCCTCTAAAGCAGAGGTGTTCAACTAATTTTTCACGAGAGCCAGATCTGACATAAATGTCACTTTGTTGGGCCAGGCCATGTATAGTGTAAAATGTAATGCCAGGTACCAGAAATACTTAGCATTGGCTGTGAACATACTCCTAATCAGCAGAGCTCGGGGCCAAACCAGCCCTCCTTGCCCCTTATGGTTGCCACCTCTGGCTGGGCGATCCCTGGAGATCTGGGGGACAATGCTCCCTCTAAGCTGTGGAGTCTTGTGAGCAAAGATTCTACTTTGTAAGCTGCTGGCATTAAAGTTGTGAGCGAGCAATCTGGCTACTGCATAAATTAGTTTGCTCTGGAACCATCCTTCCTGAGCTAAGGCAAACATGTGTGAGCTGGAGGTTAAAAAACTGTGAGCTAGCTCGCACTAACTCAGCTTAGAGGGAACACTGCTGGGGGAAGACCTTGGGGAGGGCCTGCATTTGGGGAAGGGAGGAACCTCAGCAGGGGGTATAATACCCTAAAATAGGTCTTCTGGTCCTAATTTGAACTGGTTTCCCCTGAGTTGCTCGCAGGCCGGATAAGAGCCCTTGATGGGCCAGTTCTGGCCCCCGGGCCTTATGTTTGACATGTCTGCTCTAAAGCAGCCATTCTCTCCAAGGGAACTGATCACTTTCATCCGGAGACCGCTTGGAATTCTGGGCAATCTCCAGGCCCCACCTAGTGGATGGTAACCATAACTGAGGCTCTTTTCCTTGCACTCACACCATCTCTGCTTCTTTCCTCTGTAGGTCCCTGGTGCTACGGTGAAGAACACTGCGGTAAGAAACTGCTGTTTTTCTCTTTAACCCCAGATTCTGAGCAAGGCTCATTTTGAGGTTCTCTGGTCAGAATTTATTTTCACACTGGAATGTGTTAACATGTCTCTGAACATATGCAGAGAGCAGTTCTTTCTCCACTTAGTCACTGCACTGAACTGGGATCTAGTAGGAGGGCTACATACCAGCAGAGTATGGCTTTTTGATCAGTTAGAGTCCCAGGGGCCTTTCCCACCCCATGTGGCAGAGGGCAGATTCCCAAGGGCCCTTTTATTAGGGGTAAAATGGCAGAGGAAGAAAGTCCACCCTTCCTCGGTGTGGCAGCTAGGCTTGCCAACTCCAGGTTAGGACATTCCAGGAGATTTGGGGGTGGAGCCTGAAAGATGCTTTCATCTTTTCCTTTTTGTTAAAAAAGAAAAGAAAAGACATTTCCTAGCCAAAAATCTCCCTAACTGAGTTTGGCCTTCAGCGATTCTCTTTAAAAATTAAATCAGTGCAACTTTTCATACTTGCCCTTTCCTCCCCCCCCCTTTCCACCAGGACCTCCAACATGGGTGTCCCTTGGCCACTGCGGTGGCAGTAGACAGTCCCCCATCGACATCATCACTGCCAAAGCCGTCCTCAACCCCACCTTGGGCCCCGTCACCCTTTCTGGCTATGACAACTACAAAAAGCTGCGGGATATGAAGAACACGGGGAAAACAGGTGACCACCAGGTCCTTTTGCTTTTTACAAACCACTTGCCCTCTAGGCCACACGGTGCCAGAAAAAAACTTGGAATGCAGAAATTACCTTGGAGGAGGTGATGCTCCAAGACATCTGCA